GGGATGTTTATGCACGCCAGGACTTTCGTACTTTAGTAAATGACTTGACTTGTTTGACTGTGTTGCCCGGCACCCAAGCACAAGCTCAAGCCGAAGACTGAGTCAGGCCAAGGACTGAAGCAGGAAACAACTTTTAGTTGAAAATGAAAATACGCAAAAAAAAAGAATAAAAATAAATACAAGAGGAAAATCAACAAAATTAAATTGATTTTTCTCTCGTTTGGCAAGCGTGTGAAATGTATTGGAAAAGAACTGCAAGCTAATTCCCAACTTTTACGCCAATTGAAATTCTGAGAAATGCCCCGCAACTCTTTCGCTGGCAGAGATATGTGCGCATCGAATTTATTGTTTCAATTATGTTTTCAATTTGCGCCGACAAACAAAAGCCGCGATATGCAAAAAGCCAACAACAACAGCAAAAAAAGGCTCTCAGCTATAAATAAAAGTAAAATAGGGAAAACAACACGAAATTTTGTACTTCTGTTTGTTTGTTGTCAGGTTCATGCGCAGCATTCAATATAGCGAGAGTCGTCCTGCACCCATATCCTCGCAGCATACCCCGAACCCAGGCCTTGTCCTCACGCAAGTTATTGAAAGTAAACATGAGAAAATATATATACTGGCAGGAAATACAAAAATTGTATTCCAAACTCAACGCGTAATGCATGCGAAATTGTCTCAAATAATATTTAAAGAAAATTAAATTGAATTTGCGGCAGTGCGAGGGCTGACAGCACGAGGAACATACAGTCAACAGAGCTGTGCAGTTAGCAAATACCCTGCATTTAGAGTCAACATACTGGCATTTGCCAGCCAGCTGGCAGGACATCCAAGAATTAGCTTCTACCTAGAGACAGAGACTCTATTTATGCCTAACCAAACCAAGAATGAGTGTGAAGCTGGACAGGGTATGGGCTATATGAATGGATTAGCAAAGATCCAAAAGCTGCTAATAACATCTAACAGATCGTTAACGCGGCAGGGGCTCGAGCTCCGAACTGGAAGGATATTACGACAGTTTCAACTGACTTTAAAATAAAAATAAATAAAGAAAGGGAGAGAGAAAGGCAAGGGAAAGGGTCTGCTATTCTAATTCAAAAGATAAAGATCTCAGTTTCACTCTAACAAATACTGTGAAGTCAATACAATATGGAGACATGCATTTCCTTTGAGTCAGAGAGTAAGATGCAATATACCCCACAATGTATATGTTACAGGGTAGGATAACAACAGTGTAACAACATCGCAAACGCAATGATAACATAAAAATAATCAAAAATCGATTTCAAAGTGCGGCTTTGTTTTTGTAGCAATATGCCAAAAAAAAGAATCTTCTTCCCTTTGTTGTTGTTGTTGTTGTTGTCAAAATGCAATCAAAAGATACAGCAAATTGTTGCTGTTGGTGGTGCTTGATAGGCACTTTGTGAGCAAACTTTTACTTCATCTTCTTCTTTCTCCTTTTTTACTTTTCTTTCATTTTGGGGGCTCTAACAAATTTGAAAATTGAAATTTCCATTCTGATTTGACTGACTGGGCGCTTAAACGGATTTACAACAGTGTGTGTGTGTCTGTGTGTGTATGCATGAGCGTGTGTGTGTCTGTGCGTGTGTGTGGAGCTAAGCTGGGTATTTAGTTTTGGTTGCAATTAGGCGCCCGCAATGTAACCTGTAACCTGCTGACCCTCTAAGCTAACAGCCAGAACACCCATCACTTACGTCTACGTGTATGTGTCCGTATTTAGCTATGTGCAACCCCTTTACTCTTTGGCTGACAAACGCTTCGTTTCGTTTCGTTTCGTTTCTGGCGCTAGGGTGCGAGCTCTGTTGCCGCATTGCTAGAGACCGAAGGGTCGCACTCTTCACGAATCGGTCAAGCTGAAAAATACGCTGCAATTGCACCTTGCATACACACAACACACAACACACATATACATAGAGCATAAACCAACAAGTACAAATGATATAATTAAGAATGTTCGACCTAAAAGATGCCCAGCAATATCTTATCGTTGTAGAAACTGAGGTGAGAAACTAGTGAAAGTGATGGATATTCGTCGAAAGCCCATTAATCTATTGTGCAGAAAATAAATGTATTCAAGGTATATAAGTGATGCTTTGCAGTGGACTTATATATATATACATATATATCTATATACATATATATTTCCAAGTAAATTTTGAGATGTGGACAACGCGACGAGAAGTCTATAAAAATACAAAACCTTACATTTTAGACTTGTAAAATGATGTAAAGGAGTTAGGACAGAGCTTAGTTTTTGGTATATATTTTTTATATTATTAAACACATAAATAATTTAAGAATAAATGAAGAAAAAGAAGAAGGAGAAGGAAGAACCACAAATGTGTGTTCCATAGACTATTGCCTTAGCTATCTAAAAGCTAAGCAAATCAATCAAAATTACCTATCAGAAAATGTTGCTGAGGGATATGACAGCCAAATGCTTTGACCTTTAATGTAAGCATACATGCCAGAATTTTAGAGTTTTTGTTTAATTTACTGATAGGCCACATAAATAACAAATTAATAAAAAATTAATTTGTTGAATATTAAGCTGAATTGAAACACAAATCTAGGCATATTTCGATATATATTCGACTGAAAGTATTAAAGCCTTTAAACAGGCAGACATATATAAATTGGTCTATACACGAATAAGAAGATATATCCCTTTTGTTGTGCAGGACATCATCTATAGTCCATTGTTTATGGCAATATTTTGCAATTAGTGCTTCTTACAGTTATATTTCTATATTTAACTCGGCCCATTAGGTGCATGCAACATGGTTGTTTTACAGGGTATTTAAGCCAGTTTCCCTGACCATTTCGGCTATGCATCGTTGATATTTAAATTGAGCCAACGGGCAGTAAAATGCGCCGCTTGCAGGGCGAAATGCACTTCAAAAATAGAAATGCAAAAAAAGGGTTAAAAGTGCCAATGTGTGTGTGTGTGTGTGTGTGTATGTATCCTGTATCCTTGAAATGCAACGCATGGTCGCAAGCGTAAAAATATTTTCGCTTTTTTTTCGTGCTAGTCGCTGCGTCTCTTTCCAGCGCTGTCTCTGTCTCTTTCTCTATTGCTTGGTTGCCTTGGCAATTTTGTTTTTCTTTATGTATGACTCTCCATTCGTTTGCTGTTGTTGTTGTTTATTAATAAACAATAACAAGAATGCTTAATTGCATATCTATTTACTGCCAGCTGCGCTCTTGCTGCTTGTTAACCTCATTTGCAGGCACCTTACCCCTGGGCTGCGCTACCGCAATCCGACCCCTTCGTTCTCTGCCGCGCACATCCAAAGTCTCTCCTCTAATTTTTTGTCTCTGGCTGTTTCCTTGCAGTTTGTCTCATTAAAATGAGCAAATGCGAAAATCATTTGCGCTGCAATTTTTTACAGCAAGTGCAAATGCAGTGGCGCATTTGCAGCTCGTTAGTGTGCATGAGTGTGTGTGTGTGTGTGTGTGAGTGTGTGAGTGTGTGTGAGATAGGACAATGCGGCACTTTTGTCCTTTAACTAGTTGCAAGGATATGGCGCAGCGTCTTGTCCATTGAGCTTAGCCTTGCCGTTTGCCATGCAAATTCCACATTAAGTATACGCAGCGTTGTAGCTGTTGCAAATTATGTAACATTCATTTGCATTTAGTGCTCTACTATTTTTTTTGTAACTTTTAATCAATGCTGATGTTGTTGTTGCTGTTGTTGCTGTGGTCATTGAGTTGTGTGTTGTGGCTGCTGCTGTCGCATTCAATGTGCGCTTAACAAGGATGTGAAAATTTATTTATTAAAATTTAACAACGCATTATAATCAGCGCAGATTTATATAAATGTGGCTGTGTGTGCGCGCAGACACAACAACTACTTATACACACAGTTTTGAACAGTGGCATGAATGCCTCTCATCAACAACCACCAGCAGCGACAGCAGCAGCAACCCATCAACAACCATCGTCCACACATGCAGCCGCCGAGGCAGCAAATCATTTTCATGAATACAGCAACAACTACAACAGCTACCCAAAAAGCATTCAATTGCACAGACAGACAACACTCACACACAGATACAGCATAGAATTGCACCAACACAGATAAAACCGTTTTATTATTTAATTTATGCGCCTGATAAAAAACTGCTGGTAAAAAAAGAATTGAGCGAGACCGTCACATAGACAGACGAGAGATCCATCAGATACATAGATACATTCGCTGCCAACAGATACAGAGGTACATTCGTTGCAGAACAATGAAGAACTCAAAGAGTTGCTTGCATAATACTCTATATAGGGGCATAGTTTGCGCAGGCCTCAGACATCATGCTCAAGGTCAGATAGTTGTGGAAATTATAAAACACGTAGTAGGGCGTGACCGACAGCAGTATACTCGTTCCTAGGTAAAAACAAAAAATGCATACAAACTCAATTTCGCATGTTTCTTGCCCTAACGAATGATTACGGTGATACCGGAAGTAACAAATAATCTATCCAGATTTGGCATGAGCCCAATGATAATATACCAAAGAATCTTAACACTACAACAAATTTGAAGGCTCTAGTTTCTGTAGGGACAGCAAGACGAAGAAATATTGAAATATTCATAAATAATATTCAAATTGAAGCACAAATGATATAAATGAAATATGTTAGCTAAATTGCAAGACTACATGATAAGCTTGACGTCTCGACCAAGTTCAAGATTAACAAAATACCTAAATATGGATGAGAATTCAGTTTCCCTAGTTCTGGGTTATCTACAAATGGTTGATCCTCTGATATCTGATATCAGCTTATTGACATTTAGACTTATGTAATAGATATCTAGCAAGCCTTAAGAACTTCGTGGAATAGCTTACTGGACTTTCTTATCTAAAAGATAAAACTATTCGAATTTATCATCGAATATTTTAAATACAAATGCAAATGTGATTTTGTTTGTTCCCCCAAATAGAATTAAATGGAATTTATTAAATAAATAAATTGTGTATACGTACGGGCTTAGCTTTGGGTTCCTGCAATAGAACAGAAAAACGTATTTAAATTAAAATCATTTTAGCATAACAAATTTAAAAAAATTCCAATTTGTAATTAAAATAAATTGAAGCCAAAAAAAAAGAATAATAAAATACCAGCTTAAATGCACTTTATAAAATAAACATTAATGAATTACGCCAGAAGGGGCTTGGATAAAAAACTTCTCTAATAGCCTGCAGGCTTATGGCGAGCACACATACATGCAAAGCCCACCTCCACACGTGCACAGCCATCCATCTAACAGTACACTTTATGTACCTGCAATGTTGCCTCTTGCCAAAACTCATCATTCTGTGAAAGTAGTGGCTAGAGAGAGACATATGACCTTATTGAATATGGAAGGTCATCTGTATAGTATCGAAACAAGGTTGTATATTAAAACTCCATGAGTTGTTATCACTTTTTTATACCCTGAGCTCATTAAAATTGGAAATGTAGGGTATAATGGTTTTGTGAAAACATATGTAACAGGCAGAAGAAGGCGTCGCAGACTCCATATACGAGCTGGGTCGATCTAGTAATGTCTGTCTGTCATTTTGTCCATCCGCATGAACGCATCTGGTTGCTAAAATTATACCCTGAACTCCATATAGCAGAAAAGTCAGTCAGCAATTAAGTTCGTATAGTGAAGCGCATCTTCAGCCCAAGCGCAGCCGCTGCGTCAACTGCGCATAGCGCGAGCTACTGCATGCGTGCGTATGTGTGTGTATGTGTTGCTTGCAATGTATGTATAAGAGAAGCGTAAAATATCACCTCTTCAGAGGCTAATCGATCCGTCGCGCCTAGAGCACTTTTGCTTGTGTTATTTTAGAGGTAATAGCCATCCAAGTGTGGAAATATTTGTAATTTTTGAATTCACTAAGAAAACCAACTTATATCCTAAATTAGTAAAGATACCAAATTTGTTATAAATCCTAGGTATTACGAAAATGGATCGACGCGCTTACACAGACGGGCAGACAGATAGACGGTGGCTTAAAGCTCATTTCCTGATCAAGAATATATGTATCTGCATCTGTACATTTGATGAACATTTTCATGGGACATGTATTCGCACATTATACCCCGAATTAGCAGGTTCGAGGCATAATAAAAAAATTTCAATATAAATATATATGATATAGTCAAAAATCAATACATTTAACAGTGAATTTACGATATACAATTCAAATATTTGAAATCATTTGAAATAAGCAGACAGAGGAACAAATGTATAAACAGAGAGAGAGAGAGAGAGAGAGAGAGAGAATTATAGACAGAGGGCGTGAAGGAGAGAGCAAGAGAGATAACTATGGATATACATCACGTATAGTTGTGCATAAGCCGCTTAAAAGTTTTCCTCCCCCGTAGCTCAAAGCAAAGCAAAATAGTTTTGTCCAACATAAATTTATATATTTATATATATATGTATATGTATATGAAGAGTATTTACTCATAATCATTTCCTCGTGCGTGGATCAAATGTGAATATATCTATGGTGGGTGCAGCTCATAGCAAATGAGGGAGAGAAAGGGACAGAGAGAGAGAGCGAGGGAGAGAGAGTGAAGTAAGTGAAGCAGAAATACGGCACGTCCGTTTTAAATCCTAGAGCAGGACGAAGGCTCAGGCCGAGGCTCAGGCAAAGAAAGGCAGGAAAAAATAAAAAGGAACAATGTGTGCAGATGTGCAGGGAAGCGAGAAACAAATGCAGATGTTTGTCTCTATGCGCGTGTGTTTGTGTGCGTGTGTGTGTGTGTATTCGACAGATGAATATGCATTTGGAGCAGCGCAAAGGAAATAAAACAAAAATTCAATCGGATTTGTGGCAGAGCCTGCAACTGGACACAGTTTGTCTTTCCATTTAGTGCAATGAACTCTCTATCCATGCCTCGAGCACTGTTTCGCTCTCTGTGTGTATTGCATTGTAGTGAAGCAGCAAATTGACTGATTGAAGCAGCATTGTGCTGAAGAGCAGCATAGCACCTGCCCATAAGCGTCAATTATAGCTGCAAAAATTGCTAAAAAATGCAGAAAAAAACGAAATCTAAGAAACAAAAAGGTAAAACTGCTAAAAACTTGTACATAGAATGTTGAGAACGAGCAAAGGAAAGGTATGAGGAGAGAGAGAGAGAGAGAGAGGAAGAGAGAGAGTGAGTGTGTGTGCTGGTGCAACTGGATATGCCAGACCACGACATTATATCAGATTGCACAATACAAAATGCAAATACGCACACACACATGACAGTCTTGACAGCGACGATAATTAAGTTCACAAGCTCATTATCATGCTGCTGTTCATGTGTGTCTCTATATGTTATCCTGCTTTGCAGGACCTGGCAAAGCCAACGAGCCAAAATGCGAGTGAATGTGGATATGTGCCACAGGCCTGAGGCAGCAATAAGGACGAGGACGGGCGAGTGCTGGGAGTATGTCACGAACGATGTGTGCTCAAGTAGGAGCATTGCACTCCCTGTACTAAGTGCGAGCTACTTGCTACTAGCAGCTCGAATTTAGTATGCATGAAGGGAAACCTTTAAGTTGTCATGGGTGGCTTAGAGCGCTTGGGCTAGTTCGTTCAGTGGAGTGCATTTAGCTTGATGAAGTTGCTACTGCCAGTTGCCAGTTGCCCTTTACCCGTTGCCCGTTACCCGTTACCCGTTGCCAGTTGCCAGTTGCCAGTGTGGCAGGCGGCCACAAAAGTGAAATTGAAAAAGTCTTAGCAAGGACAATACACGGAATAGGTATAACAGGACACTGCCAAGTCAATCACTCATACCAAGCCGAATTCAAAGGTTGCCTTTGGTCGTCATTTTGGGGGAAGTGCGGCTGTTGGTGGCGAGTTTCGTTGGACCAGACGCCTTTTAATATTTGCTCTTCTTCTTGTCGTTGATTTGCCTTATTTGCCAGCCGTTTGACGAAAGAGACGATGAAAATAAAATGCGAAATGGAAAAACGTTTTAATGAGAAAATTCCTAAGAAAAACTGCATATTTAAGGCAAGCAAAGGGACACGCTTTACCCAAAGTGCGACAGGAAGCAGCCTCAGCCTTAGCTTTCAGATTTTGGCCAGAGTGTGCGGGCGGGCCCAATTCAAATAGCCAAGTTAATGACTTGTGCTGGAGGCATTTTGTATTTCGTTTTTTTTTATTTTTTATTTTCAGACCTGATTTGTGAAAGTAAAAGCAGATGAGGACGCGGGTCCGCTCAGAGTGTGACCAGCTGCCCAGTCGGGCAGAAACCAAACCCCGAAAACCTGAAAAACTCGCAAAAACTGACAGCAGCAAAAGGCGCATATCGAATTACAAGAGCTGCACAAATACCACAGAAATAAATACGAAGTGCATTGATCCGCATTCGATTCGTGGCAGCAGCCAGCAGCAACAAGAACAACCGATACGTAATCACAACAGTATGCCGAAATATTGGCAACCAGCTGTACTGGCTGAAGAGAGCAGAACTTCCGCGAAAAAGAAGAAAGAAAACGACATTGTTGATATTAATTGTATGTATGTGTTCATATTAACACTGCGAAACAACAAATTAAAGACGAAGACCTGCGAGAGCATTATACAGCAGAAACAGTTATTAAGTAGCCAATGAACTGTTAAATTTTAAGACACGTTATATAAGTACGATGAGATTCGCCATAGAACTGCTGTAGTTTCACATGCATCGAAATACAAACAATACAAATTTAAATTTGTGTTGTGTAGTGTCTTGGGCATTGCTTTTATGGTGGCTGTCCAAGCAACGAGCACATGGGACTTGTATGTATAGCGGGATGAATGTGTCGAACGGCTACAACAATAATGATGATGATAAAGCAGAGGAAGATATAAAATAAAGCGCCAATTGTGTGCCAAGCGCGGAAGGAAGAGCTGCCAACAACCGTGGCTGTTCGTCTACAATTTATGTATGTATGTGTTTGTGCGTGAGTATGTGTGTTGGGTATATTGACATGTCACAGCGACTGCAAAATTTACAACTTTATCTATGTGTGTCGTCATTGGAAGCAGTGGCAGGAACAGCAACAGCAGCAGGGGCAAAGCCGGCAAGAGATAGCGGACAGCTTCGATCGGCTGCGTCTCTTTGCGTGCCATTTTCTTGTTTGACAACCTTTTGTGACGCTTGGCGTTGACGCAGGCGCAGCGCTGTCCGCGTTCTCCTGTCAACCTCCTTCTTAATTGTGTGACCAGTCGCGCGCTGTCTCTGCTCTCCTAACTATTTTGCTTGCTATCTCATTTACGCTTATGCCGGCTGTAACTACGTGCTCGTTTCTTTTTCGGTTTCCTGTTTGCTGCTTCTGCCAGCAGCACTCTGGCTATGGCTGTTGCTGTTGCCTTTGCTTTCGCTGCCGGCGTTGATCGTAGCAGCGAGACAAAACGTTGCGCTCAGCCGCTTATTTATTTATGTCTGTCGCACTGTCTGACTTTCTGTATGTGTTCATGTATGTGTGTGAGTAACGTTTGTATGTGTAGGTTGTGAACATCTGCTCCTGCAGGCGGCAACGGCTGCGAACGACGTTTGCTTTTCTTTTGTTGTAGCTGTTATTGTTGTTGTTTCTGTTGCCTCGTTTCGTTATTATCGTTTTATTGTTGTTGCAATGCTTACTTATCTTTTTTTGTTGTTGTTACTTCCACTTCTACGCTTAAATTTGAAGCTTACGAAGCGCGTCCATATGGAAGCGATTTCCATCCGTGGACATGACCTTAATTTATACCTCAATGCTAACTTTTAAGAGAGCAACAAAGACAGGGAGCGACATCAATTGTAATGTCGATGGAACAGCTGACTTCTATTAAAGATGGTATATATGAAATACTCTAAGCGTCGAGAGCCTTCGAAGTCCTTTTAAGATATCCTTTGCTGTGCTCGGCCAATGAACTTGTCAAATGAAAAGCAAATAAGACATCACATAGCCGCAGCCACTTGAGATCCCAAAATGGACCCGCTCGGCCGCAGTTTCAGCTGCAGATTTGGTTGCGTGTACGTGTGCATCTGTGTGCTTGTGTAACCTGATTTTATTTAAGGATATGAGCAGCCTGCGGCTAGGCTCTTAAGTGATTTCGAAACGCAATGCAAACTGAATGGAAAACGAACGAAACTCCTCCTTAGCTCCTTGGGTAGCTGTGAGCTTAAGGATACGCGAATGCTCTAGATGCACTCAAGTGCACGTACGCAAGTACTTAAGCAGAGGCACACACAAACCCACACACACACATGGCAACAAACGTGCTTGTAGGTTACTAGTTGAATTTGTGCCCATGCACAGGGCAAAGGCGAATTCGGAGGCGAAGTCGAAGGCGAAGGCGAAGGCGAAGGCAAAGGCAAAGGCGAAAGCAGTTGCATGCATTTGTACGTTTTAAAAGAGAAGAGAAGAGAGGAGAAGGGAAGAGAGTACAGACGATGGGCGCATTAATTTGCACTGGCTCCAGCTGGAACATCTGTTCCATCTGTGCTGACATAAATCTCGAGTGACTGACCGCTGGAGCGCAAGACCGCGCGAACTCTCGTGGCCGCGAGCGGCGAAAAGGAAACCAGTTTGCGCTGGCAATGATTTAGTTGTGCTACAGTGGAGCCTCAACTTAAAGTCTCACATCAAATATTACTATATATATGTAACTGTAATAAATAAACTGACTAACTCAATACCCTTAAAAACTATTTTTATTGCATAGATCACGATCACAATACAAACCTAATGCAGCATTCCTTAAACATATGCGGAACCCCCAGTAAGACCTATTCAAATTTAATTGTTCTGAAATTGAATATGGCTAAATATGAAACCGGCTTGTGATATTTGTGTCGATTTGACCCACTGTGCCTCGAGTAGGCCTTGTCATTGGCTATGTTGGTGCCGCTGAGCAGATGCTCAAGTGTGCGGCGATTTCATTGAGTAACTTTTTTGAATGGATGAGAATTGGCCAACGTAAGCCTGGGCCACGCTTGAATCCAAGCCTGGGAAACTCTTAAAAATTGAATGACCAAATGGCCAGAATGGAATGGCCAACTGTATGTGTCTGTGCACTTACCTTCTTCTCGGTGAGCTTCTCGCAACGTCGCTGCTTGCAGATCTGATGGCTCTTGTCGTTGCGGCAGGGGGCGCATTCGCCGCAGTTATCCTTGCGCTGGCAGCCGACGCATTCGCCGCAGCGCTTGCGCTTCTTTTTCGACTGCAAAACAGAGGCGGAAGAAGAGAAGGAGTTGTTGTTGGTGGAGTGGTTGGCGTTGGTGGGTTGTTGTTGGTAGTGTAAGGTTATGGTTGTGGGTGGGTGTTCCTATTATTCGCAGCGTTTGCAAGTTACCGCTTTCGCTAACGCGCCCTCAACTAGAACTTACCTGCTTATCGCATCCACTGGCGTTCGCATCGTTGCTGTCGCCCATGCCCAAGGCGCTCAGCGGACTCTTGAAGTTGGCCGTGCTGCTGACGGCATCCACTTGTCCGGGATTGCCGCCGCTGGGATCAACGTCCATGCCGCTGGCCTCACTCTCGGCGCTGGACTCGAGCGAATTGGGCCGCTGTTTCCGTCGTTCCTTCTTTCTCGCATCCAGCCGTGCTATCGGCGACTGCAGCAGCTTCTCTACCTTGATGGGCGCCGTAGTCGTCGTCGGCGTCGGCGTCAGCGGCTGCGTGGTATGCGGCGTATGACTACCACTGCTACTAGCCGCATGCGGAAAGCTGTTGCTGTTGTTGCCATCGTAAGACGTGGGCGTATGCATGCCCACAGCCACGCCCAGGCCAGGATGGCCATGTAGCTGTTGATGCGTGCCACTGTTGCTGTTGAGATCAAAGTCTTCCTTCTTGAGCAGCATGCTGCCCGTGAGCATGTCATAGTCTGCACCAGCCGACGCAGCCATCGGTTCCTTTTTAATCAGCGGCGCGAGGCCCGGCGTCAACGGCTGATATAGCTGCAAGTCCCCAAATGCAGCGGTGGCTGCTGGCATCAGCGGATAAGCTCCTGCTCCGGTTGCTCGATGATGGGAATGCATGTGATGAAATGCATTCGGCGGTGGCGGCGGAGCGCCCAACGGTGTAAAGCTGCCCGATGGCGGCGTTATGCTCGTCTGCATGCCCGGCAGCTGCGTCAGTGGCGAGCCGACGCTCATCATGCCCGGCGAACTGACCGAGATGCTAGCTGGCGACATGGCCACCGTTTGCAGTGAGCTGAGTCCAGATGGTGCAACTCCAGCTCCAGCACCAGCTCCAGCTCCAGCGGCGGCGGCTGCTGCGGCTGCCGCTGCTCCAATTGGCAGAGGCATGGGCGTGCCATCGGGCATTAGCTGATCATTATAGCCATGAAATTGACTCTGGAATGAGGGCAACTTTGAGAAGGGCTCAAAGCCGCTCTTTGGCTGTGACTGCGACTGCGACTGCGAATGCGACTGCGACTGCGACTGAAACTGTGTGTGTGGCTGGTTCTGCGGCGGCCCGTTGTCCTTGGACTCCATTTCCCAGGGACGTGTATAGCTGCCGTTAGAGTTCGAGTTCGAGTTGGAGTTGGTGCTGTTGCCGTTGGCGCCTACTGCTGCTGCTGCGGCAGCGGCGGCGGCGGCGGCAGTGGCAGCAGCAACGGTATCACTGTTATGTGGGCCATGAACGCGTTGGCTATGGGCGTGGCTGTGGTCAGGGTTGTGGCCATTGTTAACACTGGCAGCAGGGCCATTAGCATTGCTGCTGTTGCTGCCCAAGGGTGTAGAAACATTTGTGTTGCTGCTGTTGTTGTTCTCGCTGTTACTGTTGCTGTTGTTGTTATTGTTGCTGGCGTTGTTGGCAGGCGCCGTTGGCTGCTGACGAGCATAATAGTCCCAATGCTGAGACTGTTGTTCCTCTAGCGATTGCTGCTGCTGGTAATGTTGGTGCTGTTGCTGATGTAGCTGTTGCTGCTGCTGCTGTTGATGCTGCTGCTGCTGCTGCTGCTGCTGTTGATGCTGATGTTGCTGTTGGTGCTGCAAGTGTTGCTGCTGGTAGTGATGATGATAGGGCGTCGTATAGTGTTGGCTAAGACTATTCAACTGATTGAGATGCGTATTGTGCAAATCGGCAGCTGCCGAAGCAACAGTTGCTGATATTGCTGGCAGCGTGTTGCTGCCGCTGCTGCTGCTGTTGCTGGCGATGTTGCTCGCTCCAGTTGACGGATCGACGGGGCCGCCTGTGCTGCTCTGTGCGATTATTGTGGACGCCATTTAAGTCCGCACACTCGCATGGCTGCGCAGTCCAAATAAAACTGCGCGGGAGGGGAACAGGGTCAAATGTCAAATATATATCTATATATATATCTATATATATATATATGGTTTGTACACGCTGGTTGGCAGAGTTAAAACTTGTAATTTGTATTAGAAATCTTTATTTTTTGTACACGCTCACTGCTCTTGAGGTAGTTTTCCTTTCGATTTGTTGGTTGCTTTGCTTTGAATATTTATTTAATTTTCTGACTTTTGTTAATTTATATTTTGAACTTTGAACTCGCGTATGTCGCGTGCTTTGTGCATACTTTGTGTTTGTTGTAAATTTGTATGTTAATATTATTTAATGCGCTTACAGTTTATATATAAATATAATTATTTGTTTATTATTTCTGTTGTATTAATTATTTATTTGTTGTTGTATACGTGCTACTACTATTTAATTGTTATTCAAAAATTTGTAAGTTGAAAAATTCAAAATTTTATTTTATTTGTACTTTTTTTTGTCGTGTTGAAAGATATTGTTGTTGCTTGTTGTTGTTGTTGTTGTTGTTGTTGTTGTTGTTGTAAACGGCAGCGTTGCGAAATGAAATTTGTTTAATATTCGCTAATTGTTGCTTAATTATGTTAAATTAATGTGCTGCTCTTGTAGTTGCTGTTGTGCTGGGTCTCAGACTTGCGACTTCTTTGAAAAATTGTTGTTTGTAAATTTGTAATTTGTAATTTGTAAATTTGTATTTGTTTTGTATGCGTTGTTTGATTTATTTAATTCATTATTGATTTATTTATATATATATATATGTATACATGTATATATAATTTGATTAGCTTGTTGATATTGTGTGATATTTTGTAAAATTGATGCTTATGAATTTTGTACTCTGGTTTTTGCATTAAAATTTGATTTGCTTTTATTTGTTGTTGCTTGTTTGTTGTTAATATGTTTATATATATAAAAAATAGTTGCAGCTTTTATTGAAAATGGTTTTTGTTTTTGTTGTTTTGTTTGTTTGTTTGTTATATATAATATTACTTAGTATATTAGGCTTAATATTTAAAAATCTTTGTCTTCCGTTTGTTTGTTGGGTTACCTTACAAATTAATTAAACATTATCGCTCTTATTTTTGTTATTAAATTAGTTAAGTTGTTATTTTTATCTTTGCTTGTATAAACTTAATGCATTTTTATTTTAGTTGTTTGTTTTTTTTCTTATGAATTTTTGGTTGTTCTCAAGTTGAAACTTTTTTGATTTTAAGCCAAAGAGAAATTTTGTGTTCAATTTCATATGCCAAAATGCTTGTGGTTGGTTTCCGTTCTAATCCTTTGGTTCAAAATCTGTAAATGAATCAGAATCAGAAATTATATTAAAGTAATTTCAATATAATATAATATACAAATTTTTATAGTAGAAAAGAAAATCTTCATGCGAGCTGTCAATGTTAGCTGTTTGCTTTACATTTAGTTGCCTACGCAGTTGCCTCTAACACCCGCAGTTGATGTTGCTGCATCTGCTTAGACTTTGTATTGCTTCACAATAAAAATAATAGAAATATGCCAATCTACGAAGTATTGTTACTGTTTATTGGCCACTCTTCGAGGTGTTCGAAAAGGCGCTGTCAGTGACGTCATAGCTTCTGTTAAAATTAAAAGGCACTCTGCAGCTCACTCGATAGCAAATGTTTTAAAGTATTATACAGAAATGTAGTATTGTGTTTATGGCAAATATAGTAACTCTTTCATATTGTGACTATGGCAAATATAGTAAATCTTTGATATACATATTCTTATATGTATTCAAAGCTAAATTAGTTGCTCAACTAGCACAGCCAAGAGCTACAATTGGCAGACGTCTTTAACAGCATATGCAAATGTTAACAGAGTTCTGTGTGGATTGCCTTAGTTACATTCACTTTACATAGATATGCAAATGTAAAAAGGCGGTCTATATCATAGGTCAGATCTATAAGTCTGGTAACTCAAGAGCGAACTGTATGTGGCTTCCACTTGCTCTGCTTAATGCCTTGAACAGCAAGGCAGAAAGTTGAGGTAACAGCTTGTTGAAGAGAGATAAGCAAATGTAGAAATATATATGTTTACAACTAATTGTGTGCGTTTATCCTAGCTCAGAGCTGTCCCTATCCTAGCTTTTAAGGCAACTGTATTTGGCTGCCACTCGAGTCTGTCCTTTTTATTTTTGCTGCTATTATCGTTATTCTCTCGATGCTTCTCTCTGCTCTCTGCTCACTCACTTAAAACATCTACAAACTTCAACACATAATTATGGTCTTTGACTATATAATGAGCGTTGGCCAAGTCCAACTTCACGCTGGCAGGAAGCAGCAAGCAGCAGTAGAAAAAAAGAAACGAAAAGCAACAAAAAATGTAAAGGACACTCACTTCTGGCTTTTTATTGCCGTTGGCTGCTGTTGTTGCCGCTGCTGCTGCTGCTGCTGCTGCTGCTGCTGTTGCTTGTAAGTTATGCTCTGGCTTTGTAAGACCTGACACACACACATACAAGCACACGCACACATACACACACTCGCTGAGTTTTTTCTTCAGTTGTCATTTTCTTGCTTTTTTCGCCATTTTTTTTAACTTCGCAGTTACTCGCATTTATTGCTGCTGCTGCTGATGTTGTTGTTGTTGTGTTTGTCTCTTTTGTATTTTGTATTTTGTTCTCATAAAAAAACGGCACAGGTGTACATTTTTTTGCGCGTCCTTTGCCGTTGCCTTTTGACTTTTTGCGTTTTGTTTTTGTTTTATTTATTTTTTTTCAACTTGCCAACATTTCGTTGCACTTCACAAAGTTCAATGGGCCTGCTGTGTGTGTGAGTGTACACTCTTTGGCAAGCTCTTGGCCACTTGAGGTGTTGAAGTGTCTACGAATTTGCCCTTGGCCAGTTAAAACAATCTGCTCCAATAGAGCAACTTTTATCTAAGATAAATTACTGTGGTCCACAATCAAAAAATTCGAATTTCCAGTGAGTTTATAGAGCTGAGATCCTTTAGAGTTTGGTATTTGGTAAAGAGGATACAATGCTCTATGCATGCACAGAAAGACTCATTTCTGAGCACTCTCGCCTAGCAACAATAGACAATTATCCATCTCTTTCTTCAGCCAATATAGAGCATATAAGAAAGTAGGTAACTCCAACAGCTATTATTCGATTTGGTATACATATTTTTTCTATACTATATAGTTTTGTTCTCATCCAAATATAACGCTTTTCAAGCATCGAAAATAAATAAATTTATGAAATTTCAATTTCAATATTTAAAATATTTTTTTCACATGTTTCTCGTGTTGAGTGGTTTGAGCTTGCATCAAATTATGCCTAAGCCTGTCTGGCGTTGTTGCCGCGTTGAACAATTAAAGCCTGATTATGTTGTCGCTTACAATTTGCGTGTAGCAATTTCAGTGGCAGCAGCAGCAACAACAACAACAACAACAACTCGCATTAGTCGCAAAGAAGAAGCACCTTTAAATGATCGGTAAAAGGCCAACGGCCAGCAGAACCTGACGCAGCGCCAAGATCGGCGAATGTAAGGAAACTGAAACAGAAAAAAAACAGAGAGGAAAAAAATTGATGTTGCAGCTGCCACAATTTGCTGCACTTTCCGTTTTATGCGACTTCGTTTCGCGTTTCCACTTTGGCATCAGCGGTCCATCCTGCAGCAATTGCCTCTCATATATTTACATTGTTCGCTGCAAGTTGCATGTTGCAAGCTGTAAGCAGCGCGTTGCAAGTTACGAGTCGCAAGTCGCTGCTCACGAGTTACGAGCTACGAGTATTGCGATAAAGATCCCGATTTTCAAAATTAGGCCAACGCGAACGTGTGTGTATGCGGCATGTGCAACTGCAACATGTGCACAATTAGCGCTTCCTCTTGCAGACGCTCTTATTGCCATAAGCTGATAAATCAAGCCAACATTCAACATGTCTTTTTTTAATTTTTGCTGCTATTCAAATCGTATCCGAAGTCAACCTGAAGCCCCAATTTCCGCTCTGTGACATAACACCAAATTGAAGGAATTATGTATAAATCAACTGTCTGAGAATATCTCTATATGTATATATAGATATATGTATGTATATATATTGATTTTTATCTTATCTACAGGCTGATAAGTAAAAGAACCCGTGTCTGTAAATTTGTTGCAGCTTTTGAGCTGGGATATATTTCAGATAGAAGCTAAGTAAACACGGATATGTGTGTGTGCGTGTGTGTGTGTGTGTGTGTGTGTGTGTGAGGCTTACAAAAAACGAAACCATGAACAATGCGCGCAATTCACTATAATATCTGACTCTCTCTTTCAGTCGCTCCTTCTCTCTTGCTCTCCGTGTGCCTCGGTGTGTGTGGGAGCTCTTGCTGCCGCACAGTTTGCAACATTTTGCAAATGTTTTGCGAATTAAACACGCAGCACACAGATGTACACTCGCACACACATACATGCATATACTCATACATAAGCACACACATCTGTATATGTATATACGCTGCTATATAATGTGCACATGCGAACAATGCGTCATTTGAAAATACAGAATGCAGAAGGGCAAAAATGGCCAGAGCTGAAATAATTTAAGCAATGAATGTAGGTGACTCTCAGCTGCATTTGCTGCATAAACTGGGCTACACACACACACACATACACACCTGCATGCACATGTCCATACACGTTGCATGTGCAGAATAGACCAAATGCTATAAGAGAGCTCAGCCATGACGAAGGCGAGCAGCGAGGGCGAGCAGCAGCCTGCCTCATGTTGTAGCAACTGCTGCCTGCTGCCTGCTGCCTGCCGCCTGCTGGCTGCTGTTTGCTGCTTGCTGCCTGCTACCTGACTTTCATTTGTCGAGGCAAGTCAAGGAATGGCACAACAAGTGCAACAGCAACTGGCAGTTGGCCAAACTCCTGCGCGGTTCCTCCTGCTCCTGGCCACACAGTTACCAGTTGAATGGCAGCTCGCTCGGTTCTCTGCCTCCATCTCTTTCCCTGTCTTCCTGTCTT